GATTCATTAATTTATTTCTCCTTCAATATTTGGTTATATTTTGCAGTGATCCTTAAATTGTTTATTATCAGAGTAAGAATGATCATAAATGTTTATTTAAAAGTATTTGTGATTAGTTAAACTTGTTTAGTTTAATTTTAATTTGATTGCATCAATGATTTAGAAAAATAATATCTATTAGACATCTATATTTATATTTTAATACTTTTGGACATAAATTAGATGATTAGAATAATATCAAGTAAATTAAATTTTTTTCCTAAACATTGGCCAAAATACTTTTTGTATATAAATGATAATCTTGATTTATAAGGAGGTTTCTCTTATTTTTTTATTGGAAAAATTTTTGGAATCTTTGTTGGTATGATAATTTGTTTAAAAATCTACATTACTTAATTTGATATATATTAGGAGAATTTTTTCTTTCATCTAATTCCTATGACATATATTATAACATCACTGGGAATATTGATATAATAATAATAAAATGTTACCTTTACCATAGTAAAACCATTCTATCCCATAATAAAGCTGAAAGTACATTCTTTTCTTCATAATTATCTATTGATTATGTTGAAGCACAAGTTCCACTTAATAAGACATAAAAAATATGAAATTTTGTTTATAAGATAAGTGCCTAAGCCATCCAATAAGTAAATAGAATTTAATTTCTAATTTATTATATTTATTTTACTTTTTATTTACTTAAGGCTGAAGTGAAATTAATTTAAGAGTATTTAAACTATTATCAATAATATAAACATTATGAATGGTAATAACTGTTCCAATATTTTAATCTTTCTACCAAACTAAATCTTTTAATTATTCATCATTCCCGAATTTTAAAATCATTTCAATTCAATTTTACATTAATAAATTTAAAAGATTATTTTCAGCATTACTGTTTCTACTAAATTTTAATATTTTTTATTTATTGTTTAATATATTACAACAAAACCAGATCTTAAAGGAGTCCAAAACATTTTTTGTACTTTTAAATTTAATGATTTTTTCATTAATTTTATAATTTGTCTTTGTCTTCTTTATTTAATAATAATTTGATACTCTCATCATAAAGATAAGCTAGAAATTGATTACAATTAATAGCTCCATTATAATTAGCCCAACATAATAAACCATTATTATGATTTAATTCTAATTAATATATAACTAATAATATACGGCTATCTCCTAAAGATTTAGCATCATAACGTAAAATCTATTAAAATTTACAGATATATAATACTTTTCCAATATCAGATCCACATTACAATTTCTAACCTTCTTATTCGAATGCAAGAGATATAACAATATTATTTTCATCTTATATACTATTTAATTAAGTCTATGTTGTTTAATTCCACACTCTCATCAATCCATCAGAATATGCACTTCATATTTTATAATAAGTAGGATAACATTTCAAATCGTTTACATTTAGTCAAACTATTACTGAATTTTTAGATGTATTATAGCTTTGTAAATATAGATTGAATGAAGATAGCAATTTCTAACAACTTAGATTATAGTGTCCAGGAATTCCATTAATTTAATTATAAATAACAGATTATGCCACTAGTCCAAAAGAATAATTAAATTTTTCATATGTTGAAAATAATAAATTTAAATTAAAAACAATTCAAAAAAATCTAATAATACTAATTTAGCCTCAAAATCAAATCGAATTCAAAATTAACACCAATAAAGTAACATACCAATGATTAATCAAAAGAAAGATAGAAATAATGAAAGTATATCACAAAAAAGAGAGAAAAAAAGTTTATAATAAAAAAGAGATAATCTAATGATTCAAGAAATTAACTATATGGATAAAGGAATATATGTTAATATGGAATTTTAATCAAATCAGTTTAAAAATAATGCAAATGTATAATTGAGAGACATTGAAGAGTTTTCACCTTTATAAGATGTGTTAATAATAATGAGGAATGAAGGAGATTCAAGTGCTTCTTCAATAACTAAACGGAAGAGTATGAGTTAAAATAATAAGAAATAACAATTAAATATTCCTAATTAATTTATAAATAATCAAACTTAACTTTATATTAGGCATCCAAATTAAAATCCTAAAATAAGACAACTTTTTCAGATCAACAGTAAATTTAATAAAATGGAAATTTAGGATTGGGGTTGTTACCTACAAGTGCATTTTCATTTTATTAAGAATTGTTTAAAGAGAAGCAAAAATTGCAATTAAAAATTATACAACAATTAAGGATTAAGGAATATAAAATAGTTACAAAAGAAAAATAGAGGGTAAACATTTACAAATTCCAATATATTAAAAATGAATATCTAATAAACTTATAATATCATTTAAAGATTTGGTTAATAGCCATAACTACCAACACTCCATTTACCATATTCTTTGACTTCAGGAGCTTTTTCTGAAATAGACCATATTTTCATTAATTAAAGTAGGTTGATTCATTTTTAATTTCTTGGATCTCCATTTCCTTGAAAACAGTCTTTATGAAAATGGAACCTTAACTACCTACCCTCTCTAACTAGTATTTGTTCTCCTTTATAAATGTTTTATTTGCAAGCACGACAAAGCCATCCATTTCTACAAGCTATTCCACCATATTTATAGTTCATTATTAATTATTATTATTTAATATTAATAAAATCATTAATAAAATTACTAAAATCATTTAGTACTTTTTTTAAGTATTTGATTCAACATTCTTAATGTTAATGTATTTGGAATTGTTGGTTAAACTTTCAATATTTAAAAATTACTTTTACACAATTTTGTGGTTATTCTACTTATAGTAATTTAAGTTTCAATTAATTCTCAAATGCAAAATAACTAATTTTAACTCTTCCAGAATTAGGAAAAAGAATAATAAATATTTTTTCAGGAGTAGCATTAATATAAGGGACTAATCTATAATTTTAAACGAATTCTGATCTATCTAATTTATGTAATAAGTAAGACCAATGAGTAAATAAATTTTAATATTATGGTTATGCTAATTTTTATAATTTTAGTAATTGAAAATACTGTAGTAGTTTTGAGAATCATTAACTAAAATTACATTTTCTGTTTCTTATAATTCAAGAGGGTTTAATGATTTTCTTAGATTGCTAATATTGGTTAAAGATAAGATTAAGCAGTGTTTATTTATAGATAAGAAGAATGTCCATTTAAAATTCTTAAGATAGTTTGATTTCATTCTTTCGAGTTCTGTCTTCGATTAAAGGAGAAGAGGTTGAGAAATTTAATTTAAAATGCTTTCATTTGATTTTACAGATTAAATATCATCTTCTTCATTGATATCAATCTCCTAATCTTATATTAAATGTTATTAACTATTTAATAATTGCCTGCTCTACTAGGTAGTTTAAGAATTATTTAATTAATTTTGAGTAGGCTGATGAAATGCATATCAGAAACATTAGTTTAGTAGAGGTCTTTTGATTCGTTTTGTATCTGAGTGTACAATTTCTCAATATTGAACATCATTGACAAATTAATTAAATTTTTCCTAAATTAATTGTTTTTTGGGATAGACTCACCAGGTTTCCATAAATCAAAACAAGATTTCTTTTGACTAATTTGCAAAGTCTATATTTGTAATTGTTAACCTTTTTAAATTTGATTTGATTTGATTTTGTAGATTAACAAGTAAGAACTTTTTTCATTTTCTTTATCGTTATTGCCTTTTTTATAATGATTAAATATTGCAATAACATCTTGATTACCTACTTTTACCATATTCCTTAAAGTAATTATATCATCTTTAAAAATTACTAAATTGAATATTACTATATACAAGTGCAATTATCTAAAAGAGTAGGAATCTCTAAATTGTCTGGTTTATTTTTGGATTCTTTTAAATGTATTAAGGGGATTTCCCAAATCGAATCATACAATTTAACTGTTAATTAGTAATTTATTAAAATTATGTGTATATAATAAATAAATATCTATATATTTTTAATATAGGATTATGAAAAGTTTGACTCATAAGAAATTGTAATAATGCATAGAATCTTGATTAATTGTTATATTGATAAGTTATAATAAAGAAACTGGTTGTTTAAAATAAATATATATTATTTGAATTAATGAATTTATCAAAATAACAAGAAGATAACCCTATGATTTAAAAAGGAAATTAAAAATAAGTTAAGTACCTTAGTTTCGATATGGCAAATAATAATTCCATTTACGTTTTTTCATTATTGAATAAACCATAAATGATATTAGGAATCAGGAGTATATTTTTACTTTTGGTGAGTCTAGTATTGAGTCATTAGGGATATAATTTTTACAAGAAAGTAATTAAAATTAAAACAATTAGGATAAAAAAGATGAATAAATGCCTTTAAAAGCTTGGCGCATAAGAGTTTAATTTATGTTATTAGTTTTCTGTTAATAGCATTATATGCTAGTTGTTTTTTTGGTATTCTTTAGAAAGAAGGATATTCATGAGCTTTAATGGCTGCTTAGGGAGTACCTGTAAATACAGCAAAAAGAAGCTTTCATAATAGTGTTATCTTAATTGAGACAAATTATAGTAAATTTAGTGCTTTTAACAGATTATGGAAAAGTTTCATACCATCTAGAATTTTAGCCAATGCATTTTTGCCTTCGTTATTAGGTTGGTTTATAACAATTTAAAATATTATAATTAATTAAATGAAAGATTTATCTTTATTTGTTGTATTACAATAGGAGATATAAATTATTTGCCATTAAAATTAGGTTGTTTAGTAGATAAGGAAAGTATGTAAAAAGCTAAAGGAGCACATTACTTCAATATTTTGGACTTGTTTGATTGGTTTAATTTTTTCTTTATTTACATTGTTTGAATAGAGATCAATATAATAAGTATTTCCTAAAATGAAATTCTACTTCTTATCTTTTCTTTTAATAATGGGTGCTAGTGAATTCTCGATTACAAATTCATTAAATTTTTATACGCTTCAAGTTAATCAATTTTCGATAGGATGTCCAACTAAATATAGGACAGTCAATATTTAAGGTAGTAATTATTTTGATATGTATTGTTCATAAGATGAAGTAGGAATAGTATGGGAAAATGAAGTTGATAAATAGAATTCAGAAAAGAGAAATTAATTAACTTGCATGAATTTATCTTGTTATTTAGAGAGTGAAGAACGAACATTATTTTATAAGCAATAATTTTTTATTCTATTTTGACAGCATTTTTGGGATTTATTGCAGCTGGTCATTGTTTTGTTATAGCATTATAAGAACCTAATGTAATAAAGGCTGGATCATCTGTTTATTCTTAAACTTAATAAATAGTGTAAATTGTTTTAGCATTATTTTCAATAATACTTGATATTTATTTTTGTATCAAGTTTAATTAAAAAGTACATATAAAAATGCCAGATCTCAACCCTTATGATTCTATAAATTTAGAACCAAAATATTTTCCTGAATTATCAGCATTATCATCCATTTCATAATGTTAAGAAGTGAGAGATTAACATAATAAAGCATTTTGATCATGATGCTTGTGCAATTAGCTATTATTAAATTTTAAATAAAAGAAAAAGAAATTCTTTTTGAATAAGTGATTGAATATTAAGAAAAGGATTTTGATCAAATTAGAACTATTAAATTAGCTTCACCATCTCATAAAAATATTGATGAAACAGGTGAAGATGAAATCTTAGGATAATATACAATAGTTACTCTTATAGTAACTGATTCTGAAACATTTATACCTATTGTTGGAGCTACTGTAACAATGTATTAAGATATTAATAAATGTTAAGAATTAAATCATAATGTTTATTATCCCATAAGAATAGTATAGACTAATTCTACAGGAATGATTAGCATATATAATTTTTAAATGAAAGATAAAATATACTTCTTTAAGTTTAAATGGTTAATTGTACTTTTAATAAATATATAAATAGTCTGATCACTTTAAGCCATTCAAATAAAATTTATACGCATTCCACTTGTGAAATCTATTAATGGTCAATAGGAAATTGAAGATTATAATTTGGCATTAAAATCGAAAACTAAATCTAGAATTAGCTTCCAATGTTCTCATATTGATTTCTTCTTTTCAAATTGTTCTTTTATGAAATTTAGTTCTCATCCAAAAAGTCAAAAATAAAATTTCAAGAGTCATTACTATATAAAAGATAGTAACATTTATTACATCTTCTTTGCTTGTCATATTCCAATTAATTCTGATATCATTGAAGTTGTTAATAAAAATGGATTATCATTAGTAGCTAAATTATAGGCAGAATTATAAAAAGAAATTGCTGAATTTTAAAATTCATAACCTAAAATTTCGATTTATACTAAAAACTATCCTTATCCATAAATTTATGAAATGCCTCATACATTATAATCTGAAATTGATACTACTTCTGATTTATTAATTTGGTTATCCTTTTGTACAAATGGTAAAATAAGACCTGAATGTAGTACACCTATTAATCATTTCTGGGAAAAGAAAGATAAATCTAAGTTAGACATACTGTCTAAACTAATACTATATCAGATTCTTCCATTTGTGATAAAATGTATAAATTACAATAATGATAATATTTATTTATTTCAACTTTTCTCTACATACTTTCTACAAAGAGACTTCAAATATGAGTAGACCTTTCCTGGAGGACTACCTAAAATCAATTCACATATGCATCTCTAGCAGCCTTTATATTTGAATAACTTCCTAAAATATGTATTCTTTAATCTGCAAGAATTATTCTGGTTTTTGTTGCATTCTCTATTGCAAATTTTGATTTTTTCCTTTCTCATTTCTTACGAGAAATACGACCAATAAATCTTGATAAATGATCACCATGTAAAGTTTTACTTTTTATTATAAACTATAACAACCGTCTTTTGATTCCACATATAAATCATCTAATCTTAATAAAGCTATTAAATCATCAATATCAAATCCTAATTTCTTTATTATTATTTCATACCCATCATAAATGCTTTTAAAAAAATCTACTCCTCTTTACAATAATGTCTTATCCTCTATAAATTAAGTTATTTCTATTTCAACACATTTCCTTTTTATATTTATTCTTATTTACAACTTCACATTTTCTTTTTTTTCTTTCATTTCTATATAAATACCGCTATTGTTGTTAACATTTTACTCAATTGATACTCCTCATTATAATGTTATTAAAATTGTTCCTTATGAAACTAAAAGGTTTAATTCAAACTTAAAAGTGGACAGGAAAATAATGTTGTGTGCTATGAGTCTATCATCATTAATTATAATAGAATTATTACAACCAAGACCTTGTGTCATAATTAGTCATTTTTAAATTGTATATAAAAAGGAGAGATGCTAAAATTTTTAAGACTTTGATTTTTAGTAATAATTACCAAATTCTATGTCATTAAAAGAATTTAAACTTAGAACAATATGCAATTATTATTACAAAAAAAAAAATTAGTGGATAATTCTAGATTATTATTTAAACTTATATTTTGTGTCTATGATTAATTAATCTACACATAATTCTGTATCATTTCTATCAATTAGACTACCTCCCTTAACAATCTTATCATATGATCTTATCCTATACTTTTTATTAACCTTTTTAATCTTAGAACTGAAGTGCTTATGGGTTACAAATCGTAAGAAACTGAACTTATAATGATCTTTTTTAATATCCTCTAAGCATTCTCTAAATTATTATAAATCACTCTCCATTCTAGTGAGTTTAGATCTATTATCAAAATCATAAAATTATTTAACTCTATTAACTAATTTTAAGAGTTTCACCTAAAAGTATTAATATTAGATGATAACTTATCAGAGTATTCTGATTAATTCAATTAATTAAAGCTTTCTAACATACTTCTCAAATCTAATTTTTATTTTATTAGTTTTTAATTACCTTCTTCTAAATATCATGTGCTAAAATTTCAAAACAGATCTTATCTGTCTATTTAGAATTCAACATTTGCCAACTAATTACTTTTTATTAAGTATCTTTTCTAATTTTATTTATCCTTAAACATATAAAGAAAATAAAATAAAATAATTATAATCGATACAATAAAACATTCTATTATATCGATTATTTAGTTTATACATAATCTTATTAGCATTCGCAGCAATCGCTTTTGAATAAATTTGCTTGTGATTTTTAGTATAAAATTCTGTAAATTAGAATTTCTTTTATATTTCAATTACTTTTTCCTTACTCATTACTCTATAATTTTTTGTTTACTTTCTCGTCTTAATTTGTAGTATAAATTAATATAAATTCCATATCATATTTAAATAAATATTAAAATGTTTCATGAATCGATTTTTATATATAAGCAAGTTTTATTATACTTCTGAGTATAAGAATTCTATATTCTAATCTATCTTCATCTCTTCTTAAATCTTTTAATTCAACTTTTCATTCTCTATTATCAATCCAATAATCTTTTCTTCTTGATCCATTACCAAATTTTCAATCTTATATATTTGATTCATTTAATCTAATACTTTTGATTTCTAACAATCAAACTATTCAAATTATTATAATAAATTATCATATTATTTTTACAACTTTTTGATCTTGTCATTCCTTTTTATTTCAACATTACTTATTTTTATAGTTGTTAATTATCTTTCAATATAATTTTAGAAGTCTTAAAATTAAGTTTACTAACTCATTAATAAATTAAGTACAACTTTCTCTCTAAATATTCAATTCTAATTAAGATGTTTATTATTTTAATGCATAGACCTAATTCTTAAGAATTTGAACATGTAATTCTAATTTTTAAGTAGTTGTATAAGAATTTTAATTTCAGGTATGTAATGAAACTCTTCTAAATTAAACATTAA